CCGCCTGCGCCGGGGCCACGAGCTGCGGCGGTCGGAGTCTGGGGGGCTCCTGCGCCCCACGCGCCTCCGCACCAAGAGCGAGGGCGATGCCAGCTCCCTGCACACCTGCCCCAGCAAGCGGGACTTGCTGTACCCGGAGCTGACCAGGGTCGGGGGCCGGCTGCACACCGACCCCGTGCAGACGGGGGGACTCTGGAAACTCCTCACGAGTCGCTTCCGAAGGCGAGAGCGTGGCAGCACGGGCAGCGTGTGCCCCAAAGACCCCCAGGGCAGTGTTGAGCCTGTCCTCCTGGCTGGGGGTCCTCTGCGGGCTCTGGGTAAGTAAGCACAGGAGCAGTGCTGGGCTGGCCAGGGCCCCCGTCTGTGCTGCCTGCAGGGATGGGTGGCTGTCCCGTCCCAGCTGAGGTTCTGGGCTGTGTGCTGGCACTTGGTTCTGTCCCAGTGCTCTGCAAGGTTTGCACTGGACTGCAGTGAGGTCGTGTGAGTGTCCACAGGGTCATGTTGTACTCTGGTGCCCTGAGAAAGGTGCTGGAGCAGCCGTGGTGTGGCTGCTTAGAAGGATGTGCTCTGGGGTCTGGTTCCCTGCTGGCCACACACACCTGGGAGTCAAGCACGTGTGTTGCATGTCCTACTTGCCCTGCTGGTGACCTAGCAAGGGTGGAGTGTTCCTTCCCTTGCCCCACAACGTTGGCAGAATGGGGAGAGGGGTGCTGTTGGTGGGCACCCAGGCAAGTGGGACTTTCTGGAGGTTGCCAGAGCAGAGGTGTGGGGCAGCACAGGGGGTTGGGGAGCCCAAAAATGTGCCTGCCTCCCCCTCTTGTGAGCAGCTCCGTGGTGCCAGGCCTCATCTGGGGGATGCTCAGCCCTGGCCACCCTGCCAAGGTCCCTCACTGGGGCTGAGCAGAGACCACGTGTTTGGGAGCACAGAGACCCTCACCACGTGTGGGGCAGCCTGCAGAGAGCAGGTGTGGCATTACCAGTGATGGGGCAGGGGACAAGACCCCCATGGGCATTCCCTGGGCACTGGCAGCTGAAGCAGCTCTCGGGTGTTCGACTCTCTGATGTTGGTGGGGAGCTCTCTGGTGCCAGGGCTTTGGGGGAACTCAGCTGGGGCTGTGCTGGTTGTCCCTCTGTGCGCTGTCCCCTTCTGGGCCCTGTGGAAGGAGCTGCAGGCAAACCCTGTGGCCTGGCAGGGCTGGGAGGCGACAGCAGCATCCACAGCTTTTTAAGGCATGGAACGCATGGAGCTGGGGGCTGGGCCAAGCCCTGCCGCCCGCTCCCGGGGGCCTCGCTGGCTTCCATGGCTCTGCTCTGCATCTGGGTGTTGTGGAGGCAGTTCTGTGCTTGGCTTACGTGCCAGAGGGATGTCTTAGGGCTGGCAGGCTCTCCAGGGAGCCCACATGCTCCCGAGGAACCCGGTTGCTCCTGGGGCAGTGGCTGTCCAGGGCAGCCCAGACATTCCCCAGGAGTCCCAGGCTCAGAGATCAGCACAGGAGCAGCTCTGGCGCTGCCCAGGGAGCTCAGGGAGCACATCCCCATGTGTCCCTCGGGCTCGCTGTGCTCCTGGGGAAGGTTCTGGAGGCTCCGATGGATGCGCCACGAGGCCAAGGGCCGGGATGCTGCTGCGCTGCGGGGTTCCGGTGCTGGCAGGACGGCCAGGCCGTGTGCCGCTGCCGGCTGGGTGGCAGGAGGTTCCCAGGAGAGGGGTGGCTGCGCTCATGGCTGGGGAATGTGGGTGTATGCGGGCAGGGAGGGCCGGGCCCTGCCCCTGGAGCGGGGGGCCTGTTCCTGCTTGCCGCTTCCAGTGGGAGCTGTGCCAGCAGCAGCCGGCCTGGCCGCCGCATTCCCAAAGAAACCGTCGGGGTTAAGAGCTTGCTTGGCGTCCTGTCTCTCACCTGGCTCCTCCACGAGACAGGTAGGAGCTCCCTTTGGATCTGTCTTTGGGAGACCTTGTTGAGGCTTCTGTGGGGAGTGGTGTGGGCGGCTTGGGGTCCCTGCAGCAGTGACCAGCCAGCTCATGCAGGACTACTGCTCGTTGCAGGGATTATTGTTTGCCACTGTGGCTCATGCTGGAGGCAGAGGCTCAGGATTGACCTCTCCAGGCTGCCACTGGCACTGTGGCTCCTGGCAGGAGTCCCTGGTGCTGCGAAGCTCGCAGCGGGTTTAGTCACGCTGAGAACACAGTTCATTACCTGCCTGGTGCCTGCACTGTCCCTGTACCCACCAGCCCTGTGTCCTCCTGGGGACAGTGAGGTCGGTGGTGAAGTCTGCACAGCAAAGCAGTTGCTGCTTGTCCTCTCTTGTGCCCCATCTTCCCGTTGTCTCTCTTCCTGGAATGTTGGTCCGTGGCTTCCTCTGGTGGATGGGAGCTGTGGCAGGGCCGGAGGGGCACAGCCTTAGTGCTCAGGGGGTCTCTGCCCCGCTCCTGTTACAGTCTTGCAGGCCCATGGTGTTCCAAGCACCCTCTTGACGTCCCACAAACTTTGATGCTCTGTGTGGGCGCTGCCCACCTTGCCCTGGGAGAGCTGCTGGTGCAGCCCCAACTTGCCCTCCTGGGGGGTGCAGCTGCAGCTGCAGTTATCAGCCCTTGGAAAAGCTGGATGTAGGAGTCCTGGCAGAAAGCCAAGCCAGCACTCTCTGTTTCCAGAACCTTGAGTGGTTTGTTTACAGCACGCTGTGATACCCATCCAGCACCACAATCTGCATCCAGACATACCTGCAGAAGTCAGGGGGATGTTCCAAGTGCTGCTCCCAGCCCTGGAGGGGTTCGGCTGGGATTGAGGGGTGATGGGGGATTTCAGGGTTTGTTACCCAAGAAAGATGTAAAGAGCTGATCCTTTTGTAGTGGGCGAGGGAGGGCAACCACCCTTGGGACTGGAGAGCAAAGTTAACACAGAGTCTGGCCAGCTTAGACTGACCCAGGTGATCATGGTCAGTGGTTCAGAGCATTTCTGGCTATCCAGGTGTTGGCTGGTGCCATTCCAGAGAGGCTCTCTAACAAGTATGGTCTTGGAAAAACTGGACTCTTTAGGAATTGGAGTTGTCCCTGTTCATGAAGGGACTTTGTGATGGGTACAGCATCTCTGATGGCTCAGGAAGCATTCCTCATCTGAGGGAACAGCATGGAGCTGCCTCAGGGAGGTTTAGGTTGGATATCAGGAAAGAGCTCTTTCCCCAGAGGGTGCTGGCACTGCCCAGGCTCCCCTGGGAATGGGCACGGCCCTGAGGCTGCCAGAGCTCAGGGAATGTTTGGACAACACTCACAGGCACAAGATGGGATTGTTGGGGTGTCTGTGCAGGGCCAGGGGTGAGACTTGTGGGTGTCTTCTAGCTGAGGATATTCTGTGATTCTGTGATCACAGCTGTGTCCCCTCTCCCAGAGAGATGCCCTGCTTTTTGAGGTTGTTTAGGGTACCTCCCTTCACTCTCGTGTGTGGAGTACTGATGTGCAGGGCATGTGAGGGAAGGCTTCTGAGAGAAGACGGAACTGTTTTCTCATGAATTGAGTGAAGTTTGCATAGTGAGTTGGGTAGGTTGTGATAAGTATCATCTCAAGTCGGTACTTGCCTTGGTTGAGCTGGGAGCCTTGGTGAGAGGCAGAGGTGTCTTGGTGGGGTTAGGGATGCCTTGGATGCTGATGCCAGTCTGGTGTTTGCACTTTGGCAGAGCCTGAGAGTTCTGGAAGGTCAGGGGGGAGCTGTTGGGACAATACTCTGGAGGACTCAGTTCTTAGGACGAGGTCAGAGGGTGTGTGTGGTGGGTGCAGAGGTGTCTGACTGCAGTCATGGGCAGCCTTAGGGAGGGGGAATCCTGTGCCTTCAGTGTTCACCTGCCAGTGTTTGTGGAGCTGCACAGCTGGAGCCCAGGTCAGGCACATTGGGAAGAGGTTTTTGCTGGAGTGCTGTGATGGGAGGTTGAGTTACCCGTCTTTCCGTGTCACTCTCTGCTGGGTTTTCCTTTCCAGCAGACCCTGTCCCACCATCAGAGCAGGGTTTAGTCTGGGTCTTTTGACAGTGTTTGGATGGGAGCTGGAGAGCAGCAGGTGCCAAGGGTTTGAAATGCCTGGATCTTCCAGAGTCTGCTCTGACCTCAGAGCACAGTGACACCAGCTGCTGCTGCCCATGGCATGGTGACAAAGCAAGGGTGGCAGTTCCTAAGCATGCCCTTTCCCAGAGAGATGCAGCATTGTCTCCTTTAGTTGCTACAGAGTGTTTAAAGCTCTGCTGAGATAATCCTTGCCAAGGTCATGTCCTGCAGTGGGTTTCCATACTGGCTCAGTGCTGACTGGAACATTGGGACCAAGCACCTGTGCTGGTCCTTGACCTGGAGAAATCCCCCTCCTGCCAGCGTTGCTGCGGTAGAAGCTTTGTCAGGCTGGCCTGGGAGGGGTGGCTGTGCCCAGGGAGGGTAACTGTGCCCAAGCACGCCGCCTCTGCCTCCCTTTGATCTCTGTGTGTGGTCAGGTGGGTCCATTCGTGTGACCACAGTGGTGGTCACAAGTGGCCTCAGTTTGTGTGGCCTCTGCTGTGTTTGCGCAGCCTCTGACCTGGTTTCAAGGCTGGCTTCGTGTCCAGGGTTGCAGTGTCCAAGGGAGTTCCATCATGGCTTGGATAATGAGTTGGTTAATTATTAGTTGCTGTGTAGGGAGAGCAGCTGTGTCTGGCACTGGCGCTTCTGGAGCACAGGGTAGATGAAGCTGCTGTGCATCATCCCGTGCAGCGAGCAGCTGAGATGAGGAGATGAATTTGGCCGGCCGGCCCCTTTCTCCTCCCAGCCTCCCCGCAGCATGTGGGTGCTGGGAGCTGTGGGTTTGTGCCTGAGCCCCCTCCAGGCTGTCTTCAGGGCACAGGTGTGCGAGCTCTGTGAGGGAGCATGCTGATCCTGCCTCCTCGGTGTGCGACACTGATGTCCCACAGCACGGTCTGGTCTGTCGGTCCTGGAGGTGTCCAGGATGACCAACTGACCAAGGGACATCAGCTGCAGAGTGCCTTCTTTATGCCCTTCTTCTGTCTGTTCTTCTGCATGGCAGAGGCTCTGCCCACCCCACCTTCCAAATTCCCACCTTCTGCAGTAGAGCTGCCTGTGCTGGGAAACCTCCATCAACAGAAGCTTCTGGGGAGTAACAGAATTTTCCTGAATTTTCCTAGGCCAGTCTGGGCTGATCTCCTCTTGTATGGTTGTGTGGTGGAGCCAAGGATGCTGTTGGGCTGTGCTGAAGCTCTTGGAATGACAGTGGTTCCCTGAGCCCACGGCTTTGGAGGTCAGGTACACCTGGTGAAGGTGTTGAGCTGCAGCACAGACATCCTGGTCCCTTCTATATGATTAAAGAACAAGGAGAAGATGCAGGAAAAGTGACCAGGTGTATTTTCATCTGGAATTGCAGGTGATGCAGCCAGTCCAGCAGTGAAGCTATCCAGTAAATCATGACTCCCTGATGCTATGTGAAGCTCAGTGCTCAGTGGGAGATCAGTCCCTGGAGGTGTCTCCTGCTGGAGGCAATCCCTGCTGAAGGAGCTGGCCCCAGCGCCCAGGTGCTGCGGGGAAGGTGCTCTGCTCACCTGCCTGCTGGGATTTGGGGCTGTGTGCTTCCCCACGGTTACAGCTTCACCCAGGAGGATCTCTGCCTGTTCCAGAGGGGCTGGGCACCCCTGCACCCCTCGGGCTCAGTGTGCTGGGTGGGGAGGGTCGGGAGGCCCGGCAGGAAATGGGGAAGGTCTGGAAGCCGCAGAGGGAATGGTGCTGCTCCAGGGGGGCTCCACATCAGACTTGGACCTTTCCTGCTGCTCTGGTGTGTAACAGCTGCAGCAGCACACAGGGGGTGTGTATAATGTCACACTGACATTCGTAGCCGTGAGTGCAGGGATTTGCCGTGTTCTGCATTTTGGCAACCGAGGACGAACACCTGTATGGACAGAGCTGACGTCGGGCTGGTGTCACTGGTTTTCAGCAGCCAGCTGCTTGGTTTGAGGTTGTTTTGGGTGGAGAAACTGCTCGTGAGCTGCCCTTTGGCAGCTCCGTGGGTGTGATCCGTGCCTGCCCGCACACACTGCGGTGGGAGCTGACGGTGGAGGAGGGAAGCAAGTACAAGAAATGCGGGGAGGGGAGGAGGAGGCTCCATCCTGAGGGGTGTCTGAGGCCCGGGTGACAGAGCTGTCCCTGTGAGCTGTCCCTGGGTGCAGGTGGCTTCAGGACACAGCTCCAGTGATGTGAGAGATGTCTTCAGCTCTGTGGATGGCTCATCTGCGCAGATGTGGGTCCCCCAGCTGTCAGGGTGGTGTGCACATGTTGTGTGTGACCCCTGTGTGACGAGAGGAGGGTGGTTGGCGTGTCCTGGGGCAGAACAGGGGGTATAAAAAGGACCAGGGGACACTTCCAGTGACGGACTGTAAGTCATGCAGTTGTGGCATGGACCCCAGCCTGACATGTGGAAGTGGATTGTGCTCCAAACCCTCAGGCCTTCCCTGACTGGCTGATTGTCACAGAATCACTGGATCATTGAGGCTGGAAAATCCTCTCAGACCATCCAGTCCAACCATTCCCCTGGCAGTGCCATGGCCACCCCCAGCCCATGTTCCCCCGTGCCACATCCACGTAGCTTTTAAATCTCTCCAGGAATGGTGACCACTGCCCTGCACCAGGGCTGGACAGCTGATTCAGGGAAGAAGTATTTTCAATATCAAACCTAAACCTCCCCTAGTGCAACAAGAGGCCATTTCCTCCTGTCATACCAAGTCCTGATGGCCCAGAGTACCTTGTCCAGGTGGTAGGTGGGAAGCTTTCCCACATGCTGAGGGTGCAGGCAGAGGACACAAGCCTGCTCTGGAGTGTGGACATGCATGGCCTCTTTGCCTGCCAGGCACTGCCCTCCTCATCCTTAATCAATCTGTGCAGGAGAGAGGCTGGGGGCTGAGTGAAAGCGCTGCTCCAGACAGGTGTTGAGAGTCACGGCAGGGTGTTCCACTGAACAAGAGGCGTGTGTTCACTGAGGTGGTGCTCACTTGAAGAGCTGGTGTGTACAGGTCTGGCACAGGGTGGCAAAGGAACACAGGGGTCTTCTTCTCCTGACACTGTGACCTTGGCTCCAGGAGGATCAGAGGGACCATGCCCCTCCAAGATCTGCATCTCAGTAACTCCTGGGCAATTGTGAAGAAAGGGAGACTCCAGCTGCACTGTGTAAAGTGGTGCTCGCACCCTGGCGTGGTGCTGAGTGGAGACAGGGGGGGTGCAGGCAGTGTGCTGGGCTGTGCTGGGACCCCTGGGCTGCACTGAGAACCCTGAGCTGTGCTGGGACCCCTGGGCTGTGCTGGGACCCCAGGGCTGTGCCAGGACCCCTGTTCTCTGCCAGGACCCCGGGGCTGTCGGTGCCACACGTGCCAGGTGGTCACCAGGACCTGTGGGTGGCCTGGGCTGACATTCAGGCCTGGCAGATGCTGGAGCTGGCGGGCAGGCACGCAGGGGTCCCTGCTGTTGGGGTAAGGTGTGCTAGTGGGAGCGAGGAGTGGGGTGTGTTGTGTGGCTGAATACAGTCCTGCTGACCTTGTATTGTCAGTGTTCATTGAGGTTTACTCTGGGGCTTTCTCAGCAAGTGAACGATCAAAGTGTAGCACACTCTTGAACCTGGGTTAGAAAACAGACAAGGATCTGTTGGGACAGTTGGTGTGGAGGCAGCTGGCAGCTCTTGGGGCAGCTTGTCCTGGTCATCCTTGGGCAGATCCAGAGCAAGCCTGGCTGGCTCCCTCCAGGGCTCTCCCTGCCCCTCCTCGTTCCCAAGGCCCATCACCGAGTGTGTGTGCCTTGTGCTCCACTCAGAACCTGCCAAACCCCGCTGTGTGCAGTGAAACAGCTCGAGTGTGCACTGCCTGCTCCCACCAGGGAATGCTGTGGACAGAGAAGGCCTGGATGCTGCTTTGTCTCTCACGTTACCTGCCAAAGAAGCTGAGCAGGGCAGAAGTCCCAAGTGGAGGCGACAGCTTTTTTTAGACCCAGCGATGCAGTTGGAAATACAGGTGTGCTGTTAACCTTTTGGAAAGGGCTCAAAAATGTATCCTTTTCCTCCTGACTGATGAATTGTATTAATAAAAACATTACCTCTGCCTAAAAAAGGAAAGGGCAGGTGGAAGACGCCACAGAGAAACAATTTCCTCAGGATAGCTATAAATAACCTGGTGTTCCTGCACCAGACTTGGGGATTATTTGTCTATAACTCGTGGAAAAGGAGTGTTCCTAAGTCAGCCAAGGAAGGTAATCTGCAGGTAGGAGCACCACGTTCACCCCTTTCTTGAACATGATGGATGAGTGTCGTGGTCTGTGGGTGCTGGTGGCTGCACAGAAGGGTGGCAAGAGCACAGTGCCAGGTCGTGGTTTGTTGCTTCGTGCTCTCTGAGCAGCTTAGCCAGCCCTCTGGCAGGGGGAGCAGGAGTGGGCTCTTCCCCATGGCTTTGGGCTGTCCAGGGAGGTGAGAGAGGGCAGAGGAAGCTTTAGCCTGGAGATGGAGGTTGTTTGTCCAACCTCCCCCAAGGAGTTACTAGGGCTGGGACATGAGTTGGGATAAGGGCAGGCGCTGGTGGGCTCTGTCAGGCTCTGGAGTGCTGCCCACAACACAAGATAGAGGCTCCCAGGGATGGAGCCCCTCTGCTCTGGAGCCAGATTGGGACAGCTGGGAATGTTCCCCTGGAGAGGAGAAGGCCCCAGGGGGAGCTCAGAGCCCCTTCCAATGCCTGAAGGGCTCCAGGAGAGCTGGAGAGGGACTTTGGATAAGGGATGGAGGGAGAGAAAAGGGAGAATGCCTTCCCACTGCCAGAGGGCAGAGATAGATGGGGTATTGGGAAGGAATTGTTCCCTGTGAGGGTGGTTTGGGGGCTGCTGGAGCAGGCACTAGGAGTTGTGATTGTGGGCTTGGGGCTGCTGGGGGAGGTCTGGAGCCACCCTCCCTGTGGCCTCAGGTGACACTGGAGCAGTGGCAGTGCCCAGGTCACCGTGTTTGATTGCTGCCTGCTTTTGGGTCTGGTGGATTTGCTGCTTCCCTTTTGAGCCCATCTGAGATTCCCATTCCTGTGATAGTCTGTGGCCACAGATCTGGCAGGTTTGTTACAGGCTCCTGAAGATGCAGAGCTCCCACACGTTTCTGGTCTCCAAAAATCCTTTCTGTTTGTGTGTGATAAACACACAGGAGGTGCTGCTCCTCTGGGTCCTGCCCTGGAGTAGGTGTTGGATGGAAGGTCTGACCTCCCCAAGGCGAGTGAGGGACTAAGGTTTGTCAGGAGGGGCTGCTGGCTGCTTCTGGTACTCAAACCTGTTACAGGCTCCTGCTCCTCCTCCAGATGCTCTGTGGCAGGGTGGGAGTGTTTCCTCAAGCCATTCTGGATTGCCACAGCCTCTGTAAGCCTATTGCAGCACGCTGCCAGTTCCATAATTGCAACAATGAATTGTGTTTGTGTTCAGTCAGGAGCGTGGCTGCAATCCTGGCAGCAGCTCCACCGCTGCACAGCCTGCAGGGCTCGGGGTGCTGCCTCATGCCCTCAGCTCTGGGCTCTTGTGCAGCTGCTGCTCCCCAAAAGGATGGCTGGTCCCTGGTGCTCCCCTTGTTCTCTGTGCCTTGGGGCAGGGGATGCTGAGGGAGTTTTTGTGCTCCTGCAAGGCTGAAGGGAGGGTTCCAGCCAGTGGTACCTGGCCCCTTTGCTGCCATACTGCTCCTGCCCTTGGCTCAGCTGCTCCTGCTCCTCCCCATGTGGGGCTCGGGCTGTGTTGGGGGCTCGTGCAGCTGTGTCTCTGGAGTAGAAGAGCAGGAAGAGCCATATATCTGTCTGGAGGGAGCAGGGAGAGTGTAGCAGGATCCTTGCTGGGATCCTGAGTGTAACCTGATGATTTCTTCCCTCTGTCTGCAGATTCATTTGTGAACAGCCAGGAATGGACCCTGAGTCGCTCGGTACCTGAGCTGAAGGTGGTAAGTACTTGTGGCTTGTGCCTGGAACACCCCTGATTCCCCAGATCAGCAAGAAAATCCTGCATTTTTGTGTGGCCAGGTGGAAACACACAGAGGCTTCAGCCTCAGGAGGGAGAGGGGGGCTGGGGCTGCCGCCGTGCCAGGGAAGGACAGGGGTTTCTCAGCACCTCTGAGGGGTGAGCCAGAGGTTGTTGATCTGTGAGAGAACTTGGATGAGAAGGTGAAAAGACACCATTTGAGCTGCTCAGCCTCGCTGCTGGCCTGGCAGAGCTGTGATGCTGTCTGGGTGCTGCTCCTCAGGCTGCTGTAGCAGAAGCAGGTGCAGATCCCAGCTGGTGGTTCAGGTACAGGCCCCTGGCAGTCACCCCTGGAGCAGCTGTCCTGGGATGGGAGCTGTCACTGCTCCTTCAGAGCCTCACTGATCTCAGCTCTGCACTGGTGCTCCCCTGCCTCTGCCGAGGTGTCCCTGCCCTGCCGGGGTGCTGGAGGGTGACACAGCTCAGTCCTGCCAGACTTGAGGGATGAGGCTCCCCAGGTCTGTCAGCACAGGGTGGCTTTCCCCAGGTCGTGCCATTGCGAGGCTTCACCAGCTTCCTGTGGGATGTGGTCTCTGTGCTCAGGGGGCTGCCCTGAGCCTCTTGCCCCAGCACAGCCCCTCCAAGTGGGACAGGGTCAGTGCTGTGGGCTCAGGGGAGCCAGGAGGTGGTGTCGGGGTGGGCAGGGTGCTGCAGGTGCTGCAGTTCCTCCCTCTGCTCTTCCTGTGCTCTCTGTGCCAGCCCTCAGCTCTCCTTACAGGCTCCTGCCGTGTGCTCTTCAGTTTTTTCTCCCCTCAGCTTTTGCGTGATTAACTTTCTTCAATATTACTTGAAAAAACAAAAGAAGAAAATTCTTTGTGTAAAACATTTCCAGCACCGTCCTGCCACAGTGTCTCTTACCTGCAGTTAAGTGAAAATCAAACCAAGCTTCATATATTCATTTTTTCATTTACCTGTGAAGTGCATTTTTAAAAGCATTCTCAGCGTTGTTTGGGTGTTGCTGCCTGGTGTTGAGGCTCTGCAAGGCTGCAAAGCCATGCTGCCCCCAAACCATCCTATTGCTTTTGCTTCTTCCTCAAGTAGCAAGCCCTTTCCCCAGGTTTTGCATGACCTCTGGGGATCTCTGTTGCTCCTGCATTTGATCCAGCCAAAGCAGCTCTTCTAAAAGTCTGGAGGCCTTTTAGAGTCCTAGTTTAGAGTGACAGAATCATTTGGGTTGGAAAAGCCTTTGGAGATCATTGAGTCCAGCTGCTTCCCCAGCACTGCCAAGGCCATCCCTGGCTGTGTCCCCAGGTGCCACATTCACAGGGCTTTTAAACCTCTGCAGGGATGGTTTAAAGGATGTGCCAGGGCTGGACAGCCCTTCCCAGGAAGGAATTTTCAAACACCCAACCTGAGCCTCCCCTGGCCCAGCCTGGGGTTGTTCCCTCTCCTCCTGTCCCTGTTCCCTGGCAGCAGAGCCTGACCTCCCCGTCTGTCCCCTCCTGCCAGGGACTCGTGCAGAGCCACAAGGGCCCCCTGAGCCTCCTTTGCTCCAGCCTGAGCCCCTTCCCAGCTCCCTCAGCCTCTCCTGGTACTCCCAGACCCTTCCCAGCTCCGTTCCCTGGACACTCTCCAGCCCCTCAGGGTCCTTCTTGTCATGAGGGGCCCAACACTGACCCCAGCAAGAAATGTTGCCAAATTTCAATTCCTTCCCATTTTCAAGCAATTCTGTCTCCTCTGTCTCTCCCACAGGAGTTGAGGGTCTCACTGCTCTCCCTGCTCGTGTTCCCAAACATTCAGGATGCTTTCTCCAAAGTCTTTGAATAATTTGATGTATTTAAGATACATTCAGCAGTTTTCCCTCCCTCAGTTTGCCCCCAAAAGCTCCCTCCCAGTGCTGAAGGCCAGGAGGAAGCTGTGACTGAGCAGTTTTTAGAGGGGCACTGACAGTGCCTCCTGGCAGGACTTGTCCCCTGGACCTGGTACAGAGCTGTCAGCACAGTCAGCACAGAGCTGACTGCGTTCCCACATTCTCCCAAAAATCATGGAACAGAGGCTCCCACAGTGCTTACACACCTTGTATGGCTCTAGTTTGCTGCCTCTCAGGGGCTGTGCTCCTCAGGATTGTCAGTTCTGTGGTTGGTTTGAAGCTCCGGGTGAGCTCAAGGACACGGCAGAGCAGCCAGATTTTGGTGAGATACAGGTCAGGGTTTGTACTGTGTGCAGACAAAGTGTAACTGCAGCCTCTGTCCAAGTTTTAGAGCTAAATGCCGTTGGAGTGTTTATCTTTGGTGTGGTGTGGCACCCTTGGAGCCGGGTGGCCTCGGGAGCCGCTCTGTTGGCCCAGGAGCCATGGCCAGCCTGGCACTGAAGCCCTGAGCCCAGAGCTGAGCTCTCAGAGTTTCTCCTGTGAAACCTTTAGTGCTCCCACCTGGAGAGCTGTGTCCATGTCACAGCCCCCACCAAAACATAGAGATGGACCTGGAGTCCAGAGGAGGCCATGGAGATGCTCTGAAGGCTGAAACCCCTCTGGAGCCAGGCTGAGAGAGCTGGGGGCGTTCGGCCTGGAGAAGAGAAGGCTCTGGAGACACTAGAGTCGCTTTCAGTGCTTGAAGGGGCTCCAGGAAAGCTGGAGAGATATTTGGGATAAGAGCCTGGAGTGACAGGACAAAGGGGAATGGCTTCCCATGGACAGAGTGCAGGGTTAGATGGAATATTGGGAAAGAATTCACCCCTGTGAGACTGGTGAGGCCCTGGCACAGGTTGCCCAGAGAAGCTGCCCCTGGATCCCTGGAAGGGTCCAAGGCCAGGCTGGATGAGGTTTGGAGCACCCTGGGATAGTGGAAGGTGTCCCTGTCCATGGCAGGGGTGCAGCGGGCTGGGCTTGAAGGTCCCTTCCAGCACAAACCATTGTGGGATTCCGTGATTGTGTGATTCTCCTGGTTAGGCTGCAGAGCAGGCAGGGCTCAGGCAGGGGATGGGCTGTTCCCCTCTCCGTGACCTGTGCAGCCCCTGGCCCAGCGTGGCTGCAGGGACGCGTGCGCAGGAGCGGGCAGGGCTGCAGCCCAGCCGTGTTCTCGGTGCCTGTGTGAAGGCACTGCCAGCATCTGGAGTTGCTCTGAGGGGTGACAGATGTGGCAGTGGTGAGAGCAGCCCCTGGCAGCCCACTGATCAGTGCTCCTGGTCCTGCCACGTGCTGGCTCTGTTGGTACAGGAGGAGCTGGCACGCAGGGTGGTGTCCTGTGCTCTGTGCCACGGAGAGGTGCCACTCTTCCTCGTGGGGGACACGTGCATGGCCCAGGGCAGGACCCTTGGCAGCACCCAGGGCAGCAGGAGCATTTGAGTGCCTGGCTGGGAGCTGGAGAACCTGCCTGGTGGTGACTCACCTGCCAAGCTCATCCCTGTGCCTGGAACAGTTTGGCTGTAAACTTCCATGGTGGCAGAGGCAGCTTCAGTGTTCGTAGCCACTCCTCACCCCATGTCTTCCAGCACTGGTGTGGCCACATGAGTGTACAGAATCACAGAACCATTAAGGCTGGAAAAGCCCTTTAAGGTCATCAAGTCCAACCATCAACCAGCACCACCACCACGTTCACCACTAAACTATATTCTCAAGTGCCATGTCCACGTTCTTGGAACACTGAGAGGAGGTTACTTGGTTCACCTTCAGCTGAAAGTGACCCCTTCCCTTTTTGTGGGCAAGGGATACCTGATGTCCAACCTAGACCTCCCCTGATGAAATTTGAGGATACCTCTTGTCCTGTTGTTAGTTACTTGGGAGCAGAGCCCAATGCCCACCTGGCTGCACCCTCCTGTCAGGGAGTTGTGGAATGAGGAGGCTCCCCCTGAGCTGCCTTTTTCCAGGCTGAGCCCCTCCTGCTCCTTCAGCCAGTTCTCATCAGACTTGTGCTCCAGATCCTTCTGTACGCACCTGGTCCCACAATTAAGCAGGATTTAGTGGTCAGGAGGACCCTGGCAACGAGCAGAGCTGGGCTGTGACTGACCCATCCCTGGACACCCACCTGCATTTCATAGCCAGTCTGAGGGTGCTGCAGTCAGATGTGCTTCCACCTAATCAAATTCGGTGTTCAGTGGCTTTACCCTTTGGCTTGGTGGAACATTGGTGCTGGGTGTTCCTGTGTGGGCAGCACCGTTGGCTCCCCTGGGAGACGCACGTAGAGCTGCCGTGGTGCTGCTGCCTTGGGCATGAGCACAGGCTGGGCTCCCACCCTGCAGCTGGTCTCTGCTCCCCTTCTACTGGCAGCTGCTGTCCAGAGCTGCAGCACCCTAAAACTGGGCGTGTGTGGGCTGGGAGAAGAGGTTTTCTCCTTCTGAATTGACGTGGGAGAGCAAGAGTTCTCTGAGGGGCAGAAAGGCTGTGGGAAGAGCTGATGTGGCTCTGACATTGCTGGGCCTGTTCAGGGGAGGACAAGAGTACTCCTGGCTCTCTGTCCAGGTGGCTGTGCCCCAGTCTCAGCTGCTCTGTGCCTGACTGAGCCCAGTTAGTCCCCTGGCCTCCCACCAAAAGCTGGGCTGGGTCACATCATCCCCGTCCTCTCAGGAACACCTCTGCCTCTCACCAGCGTGTGCCCCAGCACTGGTGGTGTCACCTCATGGGGGTGGCCTCGTGTACAGGGACTTGTGCTGGGCACACGGGTGACACGTGCATCCGTTCCAGGGCATCGTGGGGAACCTGTCCAGTGGCAAGTCTGCCCTGGTGCACCGCTACCTGACCGGCACCTACGTGCAGGAGGAGTCTCCAGAGGGTAAGGTCTTGTTCTTGGGGTGCCTGGGGGTGGGCTGGGTCCTCACTCCTCTCCCTGGTGCTGAAGGTGATCCCAGTCCCTGCACCTCCTCCACCACTGCCATGGGGCTCTGCTGCTCCCCCAGCCCTCGTTTGGGGTGTCCCCTGCTTGCACCCCCCTACTGACCAGCAGCTTTGCCCCCCCAAGGTGGCCGCTTTAAGAAGGAGATCGTGGTGGATGGTCAGAGCTACTTGCTGCTGATTCGAGATGAAGGGGGCCCCCCTGAGCTCCAGGTAGGAGATCTGTCCTCCCCGTGGCCCCTTCCCAGCTGTGCTGTTGGAGGGGCTGGGGGAGGTGTGTGCTGGCCGAGCCCGGTGTGTGGCTGCCCTTGCCGGCTGCTCCGGGCTCGCGTCTCCAGCTGCTCGTCCGCGCTGTAATCCTGCTGCGTCTCCTCAGTTTGCTGCCTGGGTGGATGCAGTGGTGTTTGTCTTCAGCCTGGAGGATGAGATCAGCTTCCAGACCGTCTACAACTACTACCTGCGGCTCTGCAGCTACCGGAACACAGCGGAGGTGCCGATGGTGCTGGTGGGCACACAGGGTGAGCGGCGCCGGAGCTTCCCCCACACCCCCAGCCTCCGGCGGGGGCACAGGCCAGCCCCGTGAGCACCGTGGGTGATCCTGGTCCCTGAGCCTTCCATGGGGCTGAAGGATGATGCTGAGACCCCAGCCCAGGGTGCTGAGGAGGGAGTTCCTGCTCACACCATCTCAGCTTCCCCACGGAGAGCTGCCTCATTCCATGGGGCTGCTTTCCTCTTGGGAGTGGCATGATTCTCTGGTGCTGCCTCCCCTGACTGTGCCAGCACAGGTGGGAGGGAACCGGGATGAAGAGTTTTCTGTGTGACAGTAGAGAGCGGGAGCAGGACATGGATGTAGGGAAAAGCTCTCCTGGCAGGACAGTTCCTGAGCACTGTGTGACCTGTTCCTGGCCAGGAAGAAGCTCTGAGGCCAGGAAGACAGGCAGCAGCAGTGGGAGGGAGTCACATATTAAAAGCAGAACAAAATAGTTAGACTTTGGATATTTAGAAATCGTGGCATGAATTTTAGGGCTGAGTGATCGTGGCTCAGGAGTGGGGTGGCAGCATACACTGTGGACACACAGGAGCGGGCAGGTAACGGGGTCAGTGGCCATTGTTCCAGACCAGGTGAGGTCCTAGACTTGATACAGGCACAAAACCATCTGGAGAGCTTGAGGAGGGCTTCCTCAAAGTGCAGGTCCCAATTCTTCTGCCCCACCTGAGAAGGTTTGTTCACAGCCCCCACTTGTCCCTGGCTTGTCTTCAAGGAGTTGGATTTCTCTTCGAAAGGAGGTTTTTCCAGAACAGGCAAGCACTTGGTGACTATCTGGGATACAAACTGAGCCTGTATTTTACAGCTGTCCAGGAATTCCTTGGCTGTGGAGACACCCCAGCAGAGTTGACTTCCTCATTAAACCAGGAGGATTTCTCCCTTGGATTCTTTAACATGTAGGGCTTGGCCATGAGCCCTAAAATAGTGGAGACTGACAAATGTGTTTTATTTGGCAGCTGGGGCTGCCTGGCCTTGGTCCCCACACCTCCCAGAGGTGTTCTGCCTCTGTCTGCTGATATGTCAGTGGCTGGGTGGTTTAGGAAATTGAGTCTGGTTCATTTACGGAGATTCATCCATTTTTCTACGAACGTGGGACTTAGGACACAGGCATTTATGGGGCAGTGCTATGGAGGGGGTTCCTCTCTGTGAAGAGAGGGAGGGAGGCCAGAAGTGTCATGGGACCAGTGGATAGGTGGGACAGGGTCTTTGTCTTTCAACCTCCTGTCCCTTTGGTTTGCAGATGCCATCAGTGCCACCAACCCCCGCGTCATCGATGACTCCCGGGCACGGAAGCTCTCCAATGATTTGAAGCGCTGCACTTACTACGAGACCTGTGCTACCTATGGCCTGAATGTGGAGAGGGTCTTCCAGGACGGTACCTGCAGCCATGTTGGGGTGCCTGGGCAGGACAGGGCAGCAGTGTGGTCTCACAGAGGAGTTTGTGCTGCCCTTGCAGTAGGAAAGCAGCACCTAAACTGGATGGGGCAGCTGTTCCTCATGGGAACAAGTGTGAGGGAGCATTCCTGCTTAGGCTTGGAGAGGGGTCTGCAGCACAGTGATGCTGAGGGGCACAGGAAACCTGCACCACCTCCTGGGAGTTTGCCATCTGCTTAAATAAACCGTGGCCTTACCCTAAAGGGGATTGTGTGTTCCCTCTAGGGGAACAGGGAACAGGACAGGACAAGGGGGAATGGGCTGAATGCTGATGGGATGAGGTGTTTCTGGAGTGGGTAAGTGATTCTTCCTAGTGAGCACTGGTGGGTCATGATGCACTGGTTTGGCATCTGCTGGATCCTGGTGCAGCTGGTTTGGGGTCTTGTGGAGTCCTGGCAGTCACAGCCTCTGTGATGACCTTGCCTCACATGGCAATCCAGTTTCCATCAGACCTTGTCTTTATATGACTTCTTCCACACAAGCTGCCAGCCCAGATGCCAGCACACCTGCCCTGGGCAGGCTGGGGAGGATGTCTGCTTCCCACAGCAGGAGCAGGAAGAGCTGCCCTCAGAGGTTGCTGCTTGCCTGTGCTGTGTGGAGTGTGTGCTGCAGCTCTGTTTCTAGAGAGCCCTTCCCTGCCCCTGTCCTGGGTGGTGTCCAAGCAGTGGCTGCTGGCCTTTCTGGGGAGCAGGGCAATGTGCTGGCACGGGAGCTTGAGGCAGAGAGCGCCCTGTCCCTGGCTGTTCACAAACCGCTCTTCCCACACACGCACGTGGTGCTGCAGGGTGGGGGGGATGCTCCAAGACACAAAAACTGGGATCTCCATCTTCACCAACTGCACGGGGATTCTCCAAGAACTGGCTGGCCCTGGCTGTTGTGCCACCACAGTGCAGGCAGGAGCAGCAGAGACCCCGTTCCTCAGAGTGGGTCTTGGTGTCAGGTCTGTAGCCTGGAGCTGTGTGTGCTTGAGCTGTGCTGTGTCTGGACTGGGCACGTTGCAGTGTGTACCTGGTGCTGCTGGGACATTTGTGGCTGAGGCTGTGTCTGGGCAGCCAGGCTGCTGAAGGTCACCATGAGAAAGGCACGTGGCAGGAGAACAGGGGTCACTTCCCTCTTGCTGGTTTCTCGTTTGCTGGCAGAATTCCCCCTGGAGGTGCTGCTCACTTTGTGGGAATTGTGCTCCTCCATCCTTCCCAAGTCCACAGGTGTCACAGTGACTTCTGAGAGGATGGGATCTTGGTATTGCCAGGAGGTGGCCCTGGCACAAGCAGGGACAGTGCCCTAGGCTGGGCTGTGTCCTGCAGTGTGTGCTTCAGGACTCCCTGAGCTAGGCCTGCCCTGAGGGGTGGTTTGTGTGGTCCCCTCATGGCAGAGCCCTGCTGAGGTGGGAGCTGGTATGGAATGTGCCTTTTGTCCTCTTGGCTCCAAAGAGGTCTGAGTAAAGAACTTTATTCTCAGGATTGCCCAGTTCCTGTTTGCAGAAATCTGGGGTTCAGATTCAGTAGATGCCAGGACAGTTTGCAAGGAGCCATCAGTGTGGGGGGGGTCTCAATTCTTGGGCTTCATTTTAAGGGTGTATCTGTACCAAGAAAAGGTCAGGGAGCGCCTAGCCACGGTCACCTTGGCGATGTTGCTGAGGAGGACTGACTGACCCAGCAGCTGTGCTGCCCTGGGCTGTGGGTGACTTCTTGAGCTTCACCTCTGCTGCAGATCCCCAGTGCATGGTCCTGCCTTTCCTCTGCCCTGAGCACTGGGGAGGGCAGGAGAGGACAGCCAGCAGCTCCATAGCCCAGGAGCTGTGGCTGAGGTGCTGGTGGCGTTGCTGCTCTCCATTGTCCCCCTCAAACACAGGGAACATCCAGCACGAGCTCCCAGGGAGGCTCTGGATCCCCTGCCCAGGGGACATCTCCCATCCCAGTGCTGGCTGGGCACACCGTGAGCTCTGGCCCCCAGGAAATACCCAGGAAAAGCCCTCAGCCCTGCTGTGGTGGGCAGGGAGCCTGGCAGAGGCTCTGCCCATCAGCTGTTCCACACCACTGCCGCTAATGAGGAATTAACCGTGGGGCCAGTGAGGCCACACTGGAGAGACAACATCTCCTGAAATGAGGCACCTTGAGGTGACCTTTACCTTTCTGTGTGCTGGGCCCAGTCTCTTCTACCTCCTGAACAGTCAGACTTTTCTGGGCTAATTTCTGCCATCCCTTACACTAGTCTTTGTTCCAGTTTCTCTGGTTGCCACTCACAGCTCTGCTGTGCAACCAGTGAGGTGTGTCCTGCCCGCAGAGCCTGAGCAGCCCCACTGCCCAGTGCTGCTGTGAGTACCAGCACCTGAGTATCACTGTGCTTCAGAGCAAACCCAGCAGCCCAAGTCTGGACAGAGGAAGAGCATGCAAAGGTCCCTAGTGACCCACCAGGGATTCTACAGAGAACTCCTCAGGGTGTCACCTTACAGACCCACAGGGCCCAGACTGATGGAGCTGGCATTTGTCGAGGCAGCTCTGTCCAGTACCTGGCTCCTGGAGTTGCCAGGAGGGCTGACTGAGAAGTGCTGGACTGCCCAGGGATGGTCCTGCAGCAGGCCTGTAGCTCATAGCAGACCAGGGCTCGTAGTGTCTCTGTGGTGTCCATGGCGGGGAGTTGCTGTTCTTTGTGATGCCCGAGAGGGCAGGTGGCCTCTGGGGATGCAGCCTGAGCAGTGCAGGGAAGGCCCTGGGTCTCACTGAAGCCCTCCAGAAATCTGTGAGTGGAGGAAGCTGCTTTCTGAACTCTGACCCTGTCCCTTTCTCCCTTTTCCAGTGGCTCAGAAGGTGGTGGCTCTCCGGAAGAAGCACCAGCTGTCCATCGGCCCCTGCAAGTCCCTGCCCAACTCACCCAGCCACTCATCTGTTTCCGCAGCCTCCATTCCTTCTGTCCACATCAACCAGGTGGGGAATGGGAATGGGGAAAGCCAAGGTCTTCTTGTGCTCTCCCCACCCTCAGCTCAGTACCCAACAGTTCAGGCTCAGACTTGCACCGCTGCTCTGGGCTGCTCTTTGGAAGAGCAGAGTGCTGTCACCCTGGTCCTTCTGGCATAGCCCAGAGGAGCTGGGGCTGCCCCATCTCTGGAAGTGTCCAAGGCCAGGTTGGAGCAGCAGGGCTTGGAGCAGCTGGGTCTAGGGGAGGATGTCCCTGCCCATGGCAGGAGGTGGAGTGAGATATACTTGAAGGTCCCTTCCAATCCAGAGCACTCCATGATTTTATGATTGTGTAGCAGTTTGCTTGCCTTGAGGTCAAGTTTCATGTCTAAGCCTTTGGGTCTGGCCCAGGGTCCCCAGAGCGTGTCGTGCTTTGGCAGACACGCAGCAGAGCCATGAGCAGAGTGTGGGGAGCTCTTGGGCAGCACAGTGTGTGTGTGAGAGCATGATGCCCTGGCTGCCCCAGCTGGGCTGCTCAGCTCCTGCTTCCCCTGGACTCGGGAAGCTGATGGTCTGTGTGCACATGCATCTGAGGGCTTCTGAGGGGCTTCTGAGAGAGGATGGACGTGTGGAAAGGTGGGTTCAGTGGTGATCTGAGGGAGCAGAACAGGGAAGGAGGTTCCCTCCCCTCTGCCACAGGAAGGGCTCTGTGCTGTTGGTAACGGTTGCCAAGGTCTTGGTGTGGGGAAGATAGTGATGCTGTAGGTGTTTGTTCTGTGGTCCTGGAGCAGAGCTGAGGGCAGGACAAGCTGAGGGGCTGGGGAAGGAGAGCCTTTGGGCAACCACCTCACTGCATTCAAGCTTTGCTACATCCCCAGTGCCCGCAGAAATACTGGCTGGGTGACTGGTGAGGAAGAAAGGAGAGATCCTGGGCTCCATTGCTCCCCAGGCAACAGATTCCACCTCTGGAGCAACAGGCATATGGAATCACAGGAGCTGTGACAGGGGCTGCAGGAAGGCTGCCTGTGACTGAGGGACAGCACATGTAGCTGATGAGTTTTTGTTAAGGAGATTGCCTTTGAAACTCTTGTGTGTCAGAACCTCCTGGGCCCACCACGGGAGCCTGTCCCTGCACAGACCTGAGCCATATCTGCACCAACAGCTACCTGGTTGTAGAGGCTTCTAAAGCTGGGTTGCAAGTAGGTGAGTGCAGGCTTTTGCAGAGACCTGTGCCTGGTGCTCCAGGTCACCAGGACACCAGCAAGTTCAGGTAAACTCTGTGTGGCTGCTGGGGAAGGCTGCAAAGCCAGGTTCTGTCATAGTGTGCTTGTGTCCAGAAAGCTGGGGACAAGTTCAGTGGGAGACATCCAAGGCGGAGAGCAAAGTCCCAGGGAAATACAGATTTGAGTGTCTCTGGTAATTTGAGGGTTTTATTAGCAAACTCTGTACAGTATGAGCCTGGTTGGGAAGGAGCGGCCATGTATCCTGCAAAGGAAGCAAGAGGCTGATGGCCAAAGTCAGCATTTCTGAGGGGAGCTGGACACTTGTTTAGTGTTTTATTTCATGTCCAAAGTGTGAGAAGAGTTCCAGTAAACACGTGTCCTTGGCACTGGCTGTGCCAGGCGGGCAGTGTGTTTACCATGAAGCTGAAAAGTGTTCCCTGTGCTGTCAGACCCTCTGGGTTCCCCAGTCTGAATCCAGTCACTCATGTGACTGCATGGAACCTGAAGGAGTAGCAAAAATGCGTGGGAGGGAAGAGACCCCAAAGTAGGGGGAAAGTAAGCACTTGACTGAGTTAGCTGAGGAATGAGTGCAGGGATAGGCCAAACCTGACCTGAAATACACAGGTGTAATGTGGAAGAGCTCCCTAAGGAAATGTGGCACTCAACAAAAAAGGTGAATTTAGGGCTGACTGTGGGGAAGTAAATTTTGGAAGAATTTTCTAAGTGCATGTCATGAGCTTTGTGAGGTGATGGCTCAGAGCTGTCCCTGCTTTTCCTTCCCACAGAGCAGCTCTCAGCATGGCTTGCAGATGTCTGTGTAGAGGTGAATTCTGGCCACCTGCTCGGGGACAGACCTTTGCTCTGTACCTTGCTGTGCTCCTGGCTTGGCTGGAGGGACGTAGGGAGCTGTGGTGGGAAGCAGAGCTGTGAAGTAATGCAGTGTGCAGCTCACAGGGATTGCAGCTTGTGCCCCTCCCTGGACCTGCTCTGTGCCTGTCCAAGCCGTGCCCCTCCTGCCCTCAGCAGCCCTGGGCCCCACAGGGGTGATCAAAGTCCAGTTGTGTTCCTGGGGTCTTGTGTGGTCCCACCACAAACCCTCGTGGTGCCAATGGCCCGTGCAGTGATCTTTGCCCTTCTCTCCCCCATTACTAAAGACACTTCTAAAAATAGTGAAGCAATGTGAGTGATGCTAAAATGCCACAAAGTGTTTGTTTACCTGTTCTTGCATGGGCTCAGAAGTGAGATTCTGGAGCTGCTCCCCACCGCCCTCAGGGAAAATGCATGTGGCTTTGGGAAACAAATTCACCCATAAGTGATGGTTCTGACAGGGAACTGGGCAGAGCAGCCCGCACAGCCAGGTGTGTGCTCAGGCTGCCCAGGTGGGTACTGGGGAGCAGTGCCCTGGTGTCCCCTGCTCCTGGCCCAGCAGTCCGTGCTGGGGCAGCTCTGGGAGGGGGTGGACAGGCTCGCTCTGCCAGGAAGGACCAACGGGAGAGTGACGAGGTGTGGGTGGAGCAGAGCTGAACTCTGTCATACCTCAGGGCCTGGGGCTCTCACCAGGGTTTCTCGTTTGCTTTTGCAAGTCAGAGAGCCATAACTGACACAGAGAAAACAGGAAAAAGAGTTAAGGAGCACAGGACTTAACATGGAGATGAGGTGGAGAGAAGCCAGAGAAAAAACACAATTAGGAGCTTTTGTTTGCCTTGTGCCACAGGTATCAGTGTGCACAGGTGAGACATGCACGTGGGACAGAAGGATTCCCTTCCAGTACTGCCTGGGAGGGCAGGAGGAGTCTGGAACAGTGGGACTGGCTGAGTGGGACAGGATGAGGCCCTGGAACAACAGGATTGGCATTTAGGGGCAGGAGGAGCCCCTGGAACTGGGATTGGCAGTCCTGCTGTGAGCCTGGTCTGGCCCAAACTGCGGGGAGCTTCCAGCTGCAAAGGCACTTTTCTTGGAATGGAAACAAGGGGGCCCCCTCAAAGGGCTTCTTATGGTAGGTAGAAGCTGGAACCCAGCCCTGTTCTATCTCTTGTTTTGGGCACAACTCTTCTGGAAATAGCTTTACACTACTGGCTGAGCCAAACTAACTTGGAAATGGCCACTGCTTGTCTGGTCTGTCAGTTGGACCAGTTCTGCATGGTTACTGGGAGAGGAGGGACTCCAGAGGACCCTGGTGATTTTGTTACCCATATGTCTGGAGGATTCTCTTCTCCTGGGACAGTGGTGCTGTGGATGTGTCCTGTTCTCCTTGCACAGTGGATGATTGTCTTGGGAACCAGCCAAATGCCCTAGTTTCATTTTTTGCCTTTGGGAGTTTGGGGCTTTTTCTCTTATTCTGCAGCAGTGCCTGGAGCCTGGAGGACATTGCTCCATCCATGGGGAGGGAGAGGGAGCTGCAGGAGCAGGTCAGCCCTGGTCAGTGTTTTCCACCAGCTCTCATGAGTCACTAGATGTGCTCAGCGGGTCCCTGACCCTGCGTCCTGTGTTCAGCATCAATCTGGTACGGCAGGAGCCAGGGCCAGCCCTGGAGTCCTCCCTTGGGGACACAGATCTGTCCCTTTGGCCTTCCCAGTGGCTTGAGGTGTGTGGGTCTGCACCGGCTGGAGCAGGCACCTTGTACTCCCCAGAGCCCAGCAGCCCCAGGGAAAGCTCTTGCCTGCTGCCTTGGGCTGTCCTGTCTGTATCTTGCCCACCCCTGCTGCTGAGAGAGCAGCTTGGATGGGTTTGGGAATCCCACTCCTCACTTGGCCCTGCCTCCCACCCTGCTCCCTGCTGGCAGCTCCTGGCCCTTGCCTACAGGGAGGGGATGGGAGTTTCTCAGGCCAGTGGGTGCTTGCAACACCTGCAGAGTTGTTCTACCTGATTTCCTCTCTTTTGCTGCCCCGTTCTCAGTCTTTCTTCGGGGCCTCTGGGATGCCTTTGGGAGTTCCCCAGGCTGTGGGTGAGTCACTGTTGTGTTTGCTGTGGGATGGCAGTTTGTCTTTCTGCCAAGAAACTGCTTCTCAGCAGCTGGAGGAGGTTACACAGGTACCTGACAGGCTGGTGGAGGGAGCTGGGTGCTCCCCTGGGCCTTGGGAGCTGCTGCCATCCCCGCTGTGCTCTGGGCTGCCCGGTATCATGGCTCTTCTCCGATGGCCTCGGTCTGCCTTCCTGCACGGGCTCTTTGGGGCCACTTGGAGGGCCTTCATCCAGACTTCAGTGAGAGATCAGATGAAGGAGGTGGAAAATCAAAGTTTGCAAGTGAAATGAAGCCCCAAGGGCAGCTCACCTGAGCTGGTAACAGCGCTCATGGGCCTGCTGCGGCACGTTCCGTCAGAGCTCAGGAGCTGCAGCAGCAGGTGTTGGCATTTCCTCCTGGAAGCCCGTGTCCCGTTGCCTGCTCTGCTCCTGCCCACTTTCCATCATCCATATGCTCCTCTGGCTTCTCTCTTCTTCCTGCAGACACCAGGTTGGTGTTTGCTCTTTGTGCTCTTCCACTCAGAGCCCTGCCCAAACTACTTTTTCTGTCTCAGACCTTGTTAGGCCAGGAATTGCTGCCCTGAGCTCCAGCTGTGTTCTGCCCTCCCCAGGCACCCCGTGGCACTGTTGATGGATGCTCCTCCACCGGTTACACGCTGATGGGAAGGATTTGTCCCACAGGTGTTCTGCTGTGTTCTCAGATTCCAGTGGTGACCACAGGCGCTTGTTCAGGTCCACCAGCAAAGTACCTGCCAACAGCAGACACATGGTACTGGCCCAGACCTGTCATCTTGTCAGGGTTCTCCTACATCCCTGAGATTTGTCCTGTGTCCCTGAATCCCACAGAAGTTCTGGAGCTCCCTGCTCCAGCAGAGCAGTTGTGGCTCAGGCAATCCTGAACCACTCTCTGTCTTTGAAGGATTTTCTCCTCTGCCCCCAAATTCATCATAGCTTGCCTTCATAGCCTGGTGTGAGCCATCCTCCAGCCCCAGAGCCCTTCCTGAGGCTTGCTCTGTGGGACACGGGAGGCTCAGAGGCCAGTGTCCTTCGTCACTCAAGGACAGTAACCTTGGTTCCAGCACAAGGCAGACTTACAGGCTAAGGGAAGTTATTCTGGCCAGACAGAAATGACACACAGGACTGCAGGGAGTAAGTGAAATATAAACCAGGATGTAGCAGAATTTCTTCCTTGATGCTTTCATGTCCATCACCTGCATCTACAGGGTTTGTTACAGCTGCTCTGGCAGGAGCTCAGACTCTGCAGCCTCCTCAGAACTGGCTCCTCCCCACAGTCACAGCATCATGAACATGCTGCCAAGGTCACCGAGACATGCCAAGCATGGCCAGGAACTGGTCTTGGAGGGGCAGCCATGCCCAGCTCACTGTCCCATGTAGCAGGTTGTCTGTGTTGCTGCATCCTCCTTCTCTTCCTAACACTTGGAATATTTCACTTTCTTTGACCTAGTTCACATATGGTGAATCAGCTGAACACAGACTGTGCATGTGTGCACTCAGTGACCCTGGCTCTCTGCAGCTCTTCCTTCATCACAAACTCCTGTGTGGGTGTTGGCTCTGGGATTGACAGGAGCTGTCTCTGTTGAAGGCTCAGAAGTCACTGGCAGGTGACATGTTGCTTCGCCCCTTTGTGTCCCTGGTGGTCCCCCTTCCCTGGGACAGCAGAACCTTCTTGTCCAGCACAGGGTTCCTCACCCTGCAGAGGAGCTCCCAGGTGACATTCCCTTCTCCGGACAGAGTTCCTAGCCTCTTGTACTTGTGGAAAAGCACAACCAGACCAGGTTCCCTCTTGTTCTGTGTTTCAGGACTTCAGAAATGTTTCTGATTCCAGACAGGCTGAGATTGTCAGAGCTACCCACCTGCTTATAGCATGGAGTTCTTTTCCTTGCTCTGCCTTCGTGAGGAGGAAGCTGAAATGCTGCTTGAGTGGCTTTTTCCTCTCTCAAGTTCTCATTGTGTGTTCTCCCACATCTCTTGTCCAAGATGAGTGGCTCAGTGAAGGTTGCACCTCTTTCTGAGACTGGGCTGTGGATCATGGTCACTGCTCTGCCTGTGCAGCCCCTTTCATACTTCTCTGAACTGCTTGTGTCAGAATAAGGCTCTGATCCCACTGGGGATGGGGGTCTCTCGTGGACCCCCTGCAGCAGATCATCACCCTGTGTGGGCTCCATTCCTGCTCAGAGTGTAGGTGGGATGGAGGAAGTCACCGGGCCATTGAAGCCACCACTCTGCGAGCGTGGAGCTGGGAGGAGGAGGAGGCTGTCCCTTCTGGGGTGCTGGAACTCACCTGCCCTTCTAGGGACAGCTCCTCCACGTGTTTCTGAAATACTGTTCAGAGCTGCCAGGGAGCTCAGGCTGCCGTGTGCCGTGTCATAGTGACATGTCCTGGGCTGCAGACCTGAGCTGTTTCCATGCTGTTTCTGGCCTGTCCCTGAGCTGCTGTCCAGTGGCTGCCCACACTGCTGGCATGAGCAGGGTGGGAGTGAGCAGCCTTGTCTGGAACAGCTGTGTTGGTGACATGGCTGCACAGTTGGATCTTCCTGTTGCCATGAAGTCCAGTGAGGTTTTAGGGAAGCCCCTTGTGTTTCCAGGCACAGGCCACTACAGCCGTGGCTGTGGTGGTCTGCAGGCATGGGAGGTGTGTGCCAGCCTCAGGGTCTGCTCAGACAGACCTCCAAACCAGCAGCAGAGCTTGGGCTTGGGGTGTGGCACTCTGTGCTTCAGGACACGGGCAAGGTGAAGGCTGGAGTCCTGGGGACACGCGTCCCCATTGCCATCACGGCTGTCCTCGTGAGACACACAGTGGGTGAGTGGGACTTGGAGCTGGGCACGCTTTGGGCTGCCTCGCAGCCTCATATCTGATGGGCTCAGGGAGAGGAAGGGTATGACTGCCCAAGGAGAGAGACTCTGGTTCTCTGTTCTGGGAGCAGGTGGAGGTGCCCTAGCTGTGCCCCTCTGCTGGACACAGCCACGTGGGACCCTGCTGCCTCAGGCCTTGTTGCACACCTATGTTTGGAAGGGCTTCAGCTGCGTTTCTCTGGACATTTGCTGCCCTTCTCTTTGATTTCAGAACTTGAACATTTTACTGGTGAAAAAAATAGAGCAGAAAGAGAGGAAAGGCTTCACAAGCCCCTCTGTTGAGCAGGAGCAGTGCCTGGCATTGTATGTCTCTCTGCGTTGCCCAGAGAGGTTGTGAGCTCCCCGTCTCTGGAAGTGTTCAAGGCCAGGTTGATTTGGGCTTGTAGCAATCTGGTATAGTGGAAGTTGTCCTTGCCCATGGCAGGGGGTTGGAACTAAGTGATCTTTAAGGTCCCTTCCAACAGAAACGATTCCACGATTTTTTGGATGCGACCCAGTCCCAGACCTGTGCAGCACTCGGTGCCCTGGCACGAGGCCACGCAGAGCAGGTGGTGTTCCTGCAGTCCTGCCCCCAGGTAGCCTGTCTCTGACCTCTCTGACCATCCATCTCCTCCTGCAGGCCACCAACGGTGGAGGAGCCTTCAGTGACTACTCCTCCTCTGTGCCCTCCACCCCAAGCATCAGCCAGCGGGAGCTGCGGATTGAGACCATCGCTGCCTCCAACACCCCCACCCCCATCCGCAAGCAGTCCAAGCGGCGCTCCAACATCTTCACGGTAAGCAGCACAGGGAGCCCAGGGGCTCTGGGGAGGGTTTTGAGCACAGGAGAGGGCAGGGGAGCGGGTCACAGCAGCCTGAGCCCACAGGTTCTCCTGCACGGCAGCCCGTGCTGCGCCACAGGAGGGCCGGGGATGCAGGAGGGCTGGGGATGCAGGAGGGCCGGGGATGCAGGAGGGCCGGGGATGCAGGAGGGCTGGGGATGCAGGAGGGCCGGGATGCAGGAGCGTGCGTGCGCGTGGGAGGGCCCCTGTGCGTGTGCAGGGCCCGTGGTGCTGCAGGCTGCCTCGGGCAGGGTGTGCGTGCATGGGCAGCGTCTGGGAGCAGGACGTTCCTCACACACATGAGTGTGCAAGGGTGCACTCGTGTGGGTGTGTAGTGTGTGTGAGCTCCTGCTCTTTACAGGGAGCGCAGCTGTGCGTGCACAGCACCAGTGACTCTGCTCTCTTCTCCTTGGGGCTCATACCCTGAGCGTGGCACGGAGCCCCTGGTCACTTGGCCTCCTGTTTGGTGCCGGTGATGCTGTGCCCAGTGGTGCTGTGCAGAGCTCAGCACCTGGCATGGGGCCCCACTCACTCCCGTTCCTGAATCCTGCGTGACTTGAGCAGCACACGTGGGAGCTGCTGTGGGTGAGGAGGGAGGGAAGACAGAGAGGAAGCAGTAAAGCTGTGGGCCCCAGGTGGAGCAGGGTGCATTTGCAGCCCTCAGCTGCGCTGGTTGCCTTGCAGCCTGCCTCTCTGCACGCTCTCACACCATGCACACGCTGTCCACGCGGTGTGCACAGTCCTGCCCTCACACTCACCCTTGCTCTGAGCACAGCCATGAGTGTCCCCTCGCTGTGAGCGCACACGTGTCCCAGTCCCGTGTCTAGTGTAGGTGTAGCCTCTGTTCCCTGTGTACATGTGCAGACTCCAGCCTTGCTCCTCTCCCCATCTTAATGTGCTTTCCAGCCACCATTGCTCAGCACACCGTGTCTGCTGTTTGTGGAACCGGCCACCACAAAGCCTTTGTACCTGTTGTACCGTGTCACCCTTGTGACCAGCCGCTCTTGCTCTGAGCCCAGACCACACAAATTCAGTGTCCTCTGCCCCATTCCTCTCACTGCACCATTGGCATCCCAGATTCCCCACTCCTTTGTGCCGGGAATGTGCCCATCTCCCCTGGCTTCTGATACCCTGGAAGCTTCTGCGCTGACCTCCCGAGTACTCTGTACATTCCCCCCGGCTGCATCTGGTGCGGCCCCAGCTCTCTGTGCACGCCCCAGGCCCTCGCTCACCCCGTCCGTCCTGCCGGCGCACGCTGCCCCTCGCAGCAGGTCGCCACTGCCAGCGCATGGTCGTTCCCTCGCTGCCTTCCCCTCCGTGTGCTCACAGCCTCTGGAATGCCCTGTAGCTGTCCCGTGGCCGTGCTCCCACTGCACGCAGCGCTGGCGGCCGCTCGCCCCTCCGCCCCGCCGTTCTGTGCCTCGTGCTCGCGCGGTGCCACCACCCATCCCGCTGGCTGCGCGCCGACGCCTCTGGACTCGCCGCCGGCTCATGTTCATGCTCTCTGGAGCCCCTCATGGGGTCTCATGCTCGCTCACTG